GGATGGTAAGGAAAAGTCGGAGTCGGAGTCGGTAGATTTTTACGCGACTCCACAGCCCTGGTAATATCACCAAAGATTATTAGTACAATAATAAAACTAAAAAGAAAGGTGACCACAAGAGCAGATGAATTTCACATCCAGGGTGAAAAGGTGAGAACCTTTCTCTCTTCTCTTCCCAGACCAAGCTATACATCACCTTCATGACTTGAGCTCTCCAAATTTCAGATGAGCACACATGAGCAGTTAATGGGGAAGGGTTCTTATGAGTAGCAGATTTTAAACTCTGCTTACACTTTTTTAATTGTTTATAATACTATCTAATATTTAAATGAGAAATTTTTCCTAGCTTAAACCTTGAGCATAACAATAATCATTTTACACTAATAGCAAAGTACAGTACACATTTGTTTTTGGATACATTTTTACATTCATAACATTACATATTTACATACAGTGGTGATATTCAGCGGGTTCGCACAGGTTCGGCCGAACCCGTTGTTAACATTTTCAAAGATTTCCGAACCTTGTTAAACACATGTAACATTTCTCAGTGGTCTTGTTTCTTTTAAAAAATATATTAAAATATACGTATTATACTCTGTAACACTACTAAACTAGAGCCTTATATCCCGTTCGCCTTGGTGCAACCTCTCTCGACCGTTTCAATCGCGATCGACTCGAGAGAGTTCTTGAACTAGATCCAGTCATAAGAGAGATGTCACAATCCCACGTGCGCGAGAAAATACAAGATGGCTGCGGAACACGTGTGGGGCTATCGACAGCAAAATAAAAAAGATACCGTACTTGGAGAGACGACATCTGTCTATTATTAGATATATCGCAAGAAAAAGTATTGTATTTATTTATAACCAAAACTTCCATTTTGTTTGTCGGTGTTGGTGACTTACCGCGTAGTTATTTCAGTTTTATCATCGCGTGTAACAGCTGGGTTCTTCTCAAGTTGACTGCGCACAGGCAGTCAACTTGAGAAAAAAATTGTTAAGGAAAAATTTTCTGTTAGCGAATCCTTTGTTAAATATTTCGAATATCACCACTGTTTACAACGCTATGCATAACAAATATT